AGGGATAAGTGAAGCCTAACACCTAATTAAGTACATTATGCCAGGAGAAAAGTCAAAGACTATTTGGTTTGTGCATGTATGCATGGAAAGTTAGACAGAAATAAGTGACTTCAGATTAGCTGTGTGACTCACAGGGTTAGTTTTTTTTGTTTTTTGTTTGATGAAAATAGGAGGAGGAAGATGCTCTCTATCTTGAGTTATTTATAAATGTAATAAAGATGGGATAAAAATAAACAAATAAAACATTTGCACAAAATACATGCATTTTATCTTTTAGCATTTAGGCAATGTTACAGAAGATCAAAAGCATACTGAACAGATGGAAGAGGATTCTAATGTGATAGAGGAAAGAGCAAAAAATCAAGAAAGAAAGAAGGACTTTGATGAAAGGTGGCATTTTAAAATCAAATTTATCACACTAAAAGATGAGTTATAAAGAGGTTACTGAATGTTCAAATCTTTACTGTCCAAAAGCTTTCCCCCTTACAAATTCATACTATTACAAATTGTATCTGCTTTACTTACTATTTTGCAAAGATATTTCTGTTCTAACAGGTTTAAATACAGATTTTCAATATAATATTTACACATAAATTGACTAGTGCAAAAAGGTTCATATTATACTTTCCTAATGTGAAAGTTCCCTTGCAGTGATTACCTTAGAGTGGAATAGAGTCATCTTACATTGCCTGAAAAATATAAAAGGGTAGCTATGTGATCCTGGGAAAAGGTGTGACTCACTGGTGGGATTCAGCCGGTTTGCACCACTTCGGCAGAACCGATAGCTACTTTTTGTTGGCCAGGCCCAGAATGGACTTCTGGAAGCAGCATCCACACAGAGAACTGGTTGTTCACATATTTGAATCCCATCACTGGTGTGACTGTTCTAAGAAGTTGTAGTTGGCTCCTAGATCAAAACATTTGCAGCAATAATGTACTTGTTTTCAAAAAGAAAAGTTTGTGTTAACAGTTTTAGTCATAGGTAGGTCAATAATTCTGTAACAATTTGGTATTTTTCCTATGCTTCTCATATTTCTATTAAGCAAGTTGCTCAATAGACATTATCCAGTGAGGACATTAGATTAGATTATCCATTTTTGTATATTCTTATCTTTTATTTCAAAGTAAAATAAAAGATGTGTCTCATATATTTCCATGTTTCTTTCATTGATTTAAAACTTTCTTTCAGCTTGTTCAAAGAGAGTCAACATTTATTGAATGAGAAAGAACACACATTTAAACCATTTAATCTACCTAGCATTTTTCAGAAATTAGTTCAAAGTGTACCAACTGTGAAACCACTATTTCAGATCACAGACAGAGGTAACAAAATATTAAGAGATTTAGCTGTGAGATTTTGAGGTATATACTGTACATCTGAATATTGTAGAATATATTAAGGTACTTTCCTGCATAATTTGATATCTTTGTTGCAGGAAATGCAGGTGTTTCTATATCAGTCATACTGGAACTAGTTAGTCAAATACAACTGACTATTTTTTGTTTTCTATGGTGATATGCCATCTTTCCCTTTCAAGGGAGAGAGAGACACTGTCCTGCTCTGAGCCCATAGAGCTCTGTTTTGCCCTATTTCTCCTCTTACAAGAAAGAAATGTCACATCCTTTGTGGGCATACCTTTCCAAGAGCCTGGCACCATTTTTTTAACCTAGATGTCATCACTATCTCAAACTGAACATGGACAAGATTATTGTACTTCTGAAAGCTAAATTGACACAGAACTTTTCTTAAAACCTTTTATCAGTATAGCCATCAACATTTGTAATTTTTATTTGATGAATATTCACAGAATCCATCTGTTCTTCATGGCTGAGACTGCATAGCCTGCTGATTCATGCCATGATTTCTCTCATCTGAATAATTCCAGTAGAATGTTGGGCAGATTATATCCATATTATTCTGTTGTTCTGAGCCTCACTGGACTACCCTTAGTGCCCTCTGTTTCTACTGCCTATACTAGCTGGATGTTTGCAGAAGGTCAGCACAAAGTTGTATCAGCATGAAATTTGTAATCCCTACAGCTGATTCATGTCCTACTGCTCCAGCCTCTGCCTTGAGTCATTGTAAACACCTGATTTCTCTCCTAACATGTTTACAGGTTATCTTTGAATCATGTTGGAATAAGGGGAAAACACTGCGTTAACATTGCTTCAGCTAAAAAAAAATTAAGCCTGGAGATAATACCAAAAAGGTGTTGCCAGGACAATTTTGTGTTATGGTGGGTGCAAATAGTGAAAACCCTACTCAAATATTGTAATTTGTTTTACTATAAGATGACTACTACTATGTGATTACCCTTTTGATGTCACTTTTATATTATTCCTATGTGAGAATCAGCTGAATAATATAGAGTTCATAATCTTATATAATACAGGTGCAGAAAAGAAAGAGGACCTGGCAGGACAGTCCATAGTGACTAGTATGTATTTCAACCACGTAGAAAATGAAAATCAGGTATGCAATCAGGTATGCAAACAAAAAGCAGAATGAATAATATGCATTCATGAGTTCAGCACAATAAAATGTATTTAAAAATATTGTAGTGCATGTAAAGATAGTTTTGCAAAAATCATCCTGTTTTAATTCTATTGGGATTTTTTTTGTCTAAGTATGAGCAGAACTATCTACTGTATGAAGTCCTTTATATCAAATGCATTTTGTTTCCTTTTAAATACAGTACAGTATAGTACACAATTTCATAAAAAAACAGGAAAGTTACTTAAAAGATATACAAGGTCCAAGCATCCAATGTTCAATTCTTTAAGACATGCTAAAATAAAATAAATAAAAACAATAAAAACAAACAAAAATACTGGGATTTTACTACAACAATTTTCCTTCCAACAAAAAGGGTAAGTTAGAAAGAATGTAGTAGCACGGAGGAATAAGAGTCACTTGAGTATTATTTTTAGTGCTCTAGGAGAATGAATGGATCTTCTATCAGAATTTTATACTCCTCTTAATTTGAAATACATTTTTTTTGTTTTAGAAATGTGATAATTCAGAAACCAAGATTGTAGAAACAGATTCATCTATAACAAATGATCCCAAAGAAATATCAAATAGGTAATTTTTCAGTCATCCTACCTTCATTAATAATATGTAGTTTATGAAAATATATGAAGATAATTCTGCTGATGTAAATTATTTTCTGAATTGTTTCAGATTATTAGCTAATCAGAAGAACACACTTACTAAACAGTGCTTTAGCACTGAAAATACAAAAGGTAAAAACTGTTCTATTGCTTGTGCTTCCAGAATGTTGAATTCCAATATTGCATGATCACTTCCCCCCCCAAGGTTTCTGTGGCTTCAACACCTATCATTTCATCTCTGTTAGTAAGGATTAGATCCAATATGGCTAATCCCCTATTTCCCTTTTCTACTTTTTGGGAGACAAAGTTGTCTGCTAGATTTGTCAGGAATCTGTTTGATCTTCCACTTGGTGCAGAGTTTGTCTCCCAGTTGATGTCAGGATAATTAAATTCCCCCATTACTATTGTGATGTGCTTCCTACATACCTTAGTTAGCTGACTAGCAAACAGTTCATCTATTTCAGTGGTTCTCAACCTTTTTAATGCCGCGACCCCCAACCGGTCGTAAGTCGAGGACTAAACCGGTCGTAAGTCGAGGACTAAACTGGTCGTAAGTCTAGGACTACCCAACCGGTCATAAGTCGAGGACTTTCCCTGCCCGGGAGCGCCACGCATGCATGGTTCCGCCCCCTGCGCTGGCCGAGGCGTAGCTGGCAAGCGGCAGAGACGGAGCAGGCCGACCACCAGCTGGCCCAACTCAAGGGAGGTAAAAGGGGAAAAAATGGTGGACAGCTTTGCTTGGCGACCCCCGTGAAATGGTCGATCGACCCCAAATGGGGTCGCGACCCATAGGTTGAGAACCGCTGATCTATTTCCTCTGTTTGGTTGGGTGGCCTATAGTATACACCTATGGCAATATCATTTCCCCCCCCTTTTATATTGACCCAAATGCATTAAGACAGTTTTCATCATTGTTGTGCTCTATTTCTGTAGAGATGTAGTTATTTCTTATATAGAGAGCAACTCCACCTCCTCTTTTGTTTGGTATGTTTCTTTTAAATAATTTAAATCCTTCTAGCTGTGGCTTTCATTTGTGGGTTTCATCCCACCATGTTTCCTTAATAGCAACAATATCATATCTGCCCTCATTTACCTGAATTTCTAGTTCACCCTGCTTACTGTTCATACTCTGTACATTGGTGTATAGACATTTGAGTCCTTTATGACTGACCCTGTGTTTACTTTCTACATAACCTGTGTGATGCCTGAGTTCCCCTACTTTTTTACCACCTGTTTGGTTAGTGCACTTTGTGTGGCACTCGCTATTAAAAGCTTGATTTTGCTTGACAGCAAGGTTGATATTCTTGTCCACAAACACATTTATGTTACATGCACTGATAATCCTATAATTTTTAGATTGCCGGGGACAATTAACTCACTGTCCCTGTTGTTAAATATTCCTCCAGAAAATTTGTGAATTTATTGCCAAGTAACTCAGTCCCTTTGTTGAATGGATTCAAACCATCTCTTTTGTACATTTTTTCATTGGACCAGCTACAGATATTGTGTAACCAAAGCATGGTGTAACCCTTTACACCACTCCTTTAGCTACATATTGAATTCTGCTATACACTGGCCTTTTCCATTTTGCTCCTTATACACTGGTAAAACCTCTGAAAAATTAAGCCTACAGCCTATCCTGCTAAGTTCCTGCCCCAAGCTCTGGAAATCGTTCTGCAGAGAGTACATCTTTTTGGGACAGATCGTTAGTGCCAAGATTCTGGGCCCAGTGCTCTTCAACATCTTCATCAACGATTTGGACGAGGGGATAGATGGGGAAATCATCAAATTTGCAGACGACACCAAGCTGGCAGGAATAGCCAACACTCCAGAAGACAGGCTTAGGATACAGGAGGATCTGGACAGACTTGAACACTGGGTGCTATCTAACAAAATGAAATTCAATGGTGAAAAAAGTAAGGTTCTACATTTAGGCAAGAAAATGCACAGGTATAGTATAGGGGGTACCTTGCTCAATAGTAATAACTGTGAGAGGGACCTCGGAGTCCTAGTGGACAATCACTTAAATATGAGCCAGCAGTGTGCTGCAGCTGCCAAAAAGGCCAACACAGTACTGGGCTGCTTTAACAGAGGGATAGAATCAAGATCACGTGAAGTATTAATATCACTTTACAATGCCTTGGTAAGGCCACACTTGGAATACTGCATCCAGTTTTGGTCACCACGGTGTAAAAAAGACGTTGAGACTCTAGAAAGAGTACAGAGAAGAGCAACGAAGATGATTAGGGGACTGGAGGCTAAAACATATAAGGAAAGGCTGCTGGAATTGGGTATGTCTAGTTTAATGAAGAGAAGGACGAGGGGGGACATGATAGCAGTATTCCAATATCTCAGGGGCTGCCACAAAGAAGAGGGAGTCAAGCTATTTTCCAAAGCGCCTGAACGCAGGACAAGAAGCAACGGATGGAAACTAATCAAGGAGAGAAGCAACCTAGAACTAAGGAGAAACTTTCTGACAATTAGAACAATTAACCAGTGGAACAATCTGCCTCCAGAAGCGGTGAATGCTCCAACACTGGAAGTTTTAAAGAAGAGACTGGACAGCCATTTGTCCGAAATGGTATAGAGTTTCCTGCCTGAGCAGGGGGTTGGACTAGATGACCTCTAAGGTCCCTTCCAACTTTATGATGATGATGATGATGATGATGATGATGATGATGATGATGATGATGATGATGATGATGTACAATAGCATCCACATCACAGTCCTTGCTGGCGTTCTTGACTACTTTTTATGTTTCTTTACTCTTGCTCTCCTTTCTTTTTTTTACTGTTTTATCTATTCCTTAAGAAATGTAAAAATGCTGAGATGGTTCATATGGAAAAAATAGACTTAAATTTTTAAATGTAATTAATTTTTGAAAAAATCTTAACCAGTAAGAATACTTGAATTTTGTGGGAGAATTTCTTTTTAAATAAGGACTGTAACAGAATCTATGATAAGGCAATAAGAATGATTGGATAGAAAAGAAATATTATATTGATGTGATTATTATTTTTAGGAATATTGGGAAAAACTATATATTTAATTGTTATCTATCAAAACAATAAGAATTGTATTAACTTAATGTTTGCAAAAGAGGACATTTTGGGGAAAAGAGGAAATCAACTAAAACCATTATATGGATTATGGATTATAGAAATCAATTGTTAGTGGTTGTTTAACAAATGTAAACCCAGACAACACATTGTTCACCAATTATTAAGTGATTTATGTTTTAAAAAATCAATAAAATATATTACAAAAAAAAGAAGAATACAAAAGGTGATCACATGACCCTGGGACACTGCAACCATCATAAATATGAGTCAGTTGCCAGTTTTGATCACATGACAATGGGGATGCTGCAATGGTTGTCAGTATGAAAAACAGTCATAAGTCACTTTTTTCAGTGCTGTTGTAACTTCGAAGACTACCTGTATAAATAAATAAATATGTTAAACCAAAGTCAAACATTGTTAGGATCCTTCATAACTGCTATTTTGTACACCTAATTTTCCACATTTTATTGTTTATTAATTACACAGATGATGTGATGTATCTCATTAATATGGATTATACTTGCTTGATCAAGCACCAATTCTAGGGCTGTGCAAATTCTTTGAAATAAGTTCTTTGGAATACATGACTTTTTTTTATTGTTAAAGCAATTTGTCTTTTTCCAAGTTTACACAACTGTTGTGAAAGCTTTGGATGCAAAGCCTGTATGTTCTGGAAGATCTGGTTCAAATGATTTGCAGAGTCCTAATCACTGCATCCTATTGCTATTGCTATACTAGAATTATATCCCATAATTCTTTTGGTTGCTCACGGTAGCATACTTTTTATTTACAGTAGAGGCCAGAATTGTGGAAACCTTTTGGGAAAAGTGTATTTTTGAGGTTTGATGGCTAATAACACCACTTTTTTGGGAGTAGTACCATACAATTATATATCAATGGAAAGATAATTTAATCAAGAATGTAATGCAACAAAGTTTGTTCAATTATTTGTACTGTATTCTATAAAATGTTATAGCCAAATAACCAGAAAAAGGAAGCACAACTTGCTTAGGTTGATATCAGGGGCTTTCCTTCATCTGATTGTAGCCAATGAGCATGAGTGTTTAGAGAGCCAATCAGGTGTCATCTTGTTTTGGTAATGAGCCAATCAGATCACAGTAGGATTCAGTAATTGATGTCATGTGTTGAAACTGAGAAAAGGACATTTGTCAGTGTGTCAAGTTGGTTAGGTTTTTTTGTGTTCTTTCATTTAGTGAGCTTGTAAAACGTAATAAAATTAATGTAATGGTGCAAAGAATTGACTGGTTGCCCAGAAAGCGATGTAAAATAGTGAACAAGGCTACAGTTATAAAGAAATTAGAAGAAAAACTTGTGGAAACTTAACCAAAGGTGGCATTTCTACTGTACACTTTTCCCAAAAGGTTTCCACAATTTTGGCCACTACTGTATTTATTTCATATGTGTAACAGAACACAGCATTAATGCAGAAAATTTAAAAAACAGCATATAAAATGTGTTTCAAAATATAAAAACAGAACAGTGAAATATTTTAAAAATGCACAATATGAATGATGAGTAAAATTATGAATAAAATTAAATTATATATGAGCATTTACTAGAATGGCTAAGCCTATGGCCAGATATCTAGATCGTTTAGCTATTAGACAACATACTTAGGTAACATACTTAGGGATCTCCCTTCATTTTATCCCCTCAACAACCCTTCATGAGAGATTGGGTTGAGAGATCTGGACTGGCATAGAGTTACCCACTGAATGCCATGATAAAATAAGCCTGAATCACAGTGGTTCCAGTCCAGCACCTTTACCATTATATTGCATTGGTAAGTTGCAGCACTGCACATATTGGAGTGAGGCAAGAAATGAATTAAGTATGAATGACTTCTTTGGGTAAAGTGAGGTCTTCTTTTTTTCCTTCTCAATTGATCCTACAATGCTTGGCTCTTCACCTTGTTATATCCTACATCAGATCCCCAAGTTCTTAAGTTGGCCATTGGAATATTTTGCCTCTCACCCTCTCAGTTCATTACATTTGTTTTTTATTGTCTGTTTGGGAAACCCCTTCTAGGTGCTGAATTTCTCATGGGTCCACAATTTCAGGGAAATAAATCAAATGATGGATTGTTGTTTGGTATTCTGCTCTCTGTATCTTACAATCTTTCTGACATTGATGCTAAAAGCTGATATACAGCTATGTGACTGGAATATAGCAGCATGCATTTCTCTTCTCCAATAATGTACTAGTATAATCAGTATATATACCATCTTGATTTTTATAAAATATAATTTTCTGTGGTAGGAAAAAAGGCTGACTACAAACAAAAGGAAAACAAATCAATGGATTCTGCAGTTATATCTCAAGTTAGTTTAACGTCTTGTTATATTGTTCTATTAAATGATTTTCAATAATTTTGAAAACCAGATATATGCTAATGTTAGTTGAGTTGATGTTTGCTGCTTTAAATTCCTTACATTGTACCTTTTTGAAAGGCAGCTGGTTGAGAAAAATGCTCTCATCTAACATTCCTGAACAGAAGACTAACAGCTTCAAATCTATGTGGGTAGATTTCTCTCTGAAGACAAACTTCAGTTCTTATTCCATCATTTATATATTGATCTATAAATCTGGATAGTGTTTTGGGTAGCGAGATGGGTGGCATATAAATTAAATAAGTACATTTATGAAATAAATAAATAAATAAATTTATATCTTACAATTTTCATATTATTGCCCCAAAAGTGTTTGTTGAAAAAATTTAAAAGCCCTGAATATATTTGTGGTAGTCGTGGTTTCCTCAAATATGATATAGCAGCATTTTCTTAAACAGGATAGGCAGACAGAAATTTATACTAAACCTGCTGGATGTTATTCTTCAACAAGAGATGAAGATACTGCAGCAACTCCACGGCTAATAACTCCAGAGCCTAACATACTTCCAAAGACACCTGAGTCTGGTGGGATGAGAACTCCATTTGAACTGTAAGCATTGTTCAAATTCAAATTTTGCTTTTCTTCAGGATCCTTCTAAAGAATGATTTTTAAGTCCCACTTAATATTTATATCTTCTTCTCTTTCATTGTACTAGATTTCCACCAGAAAGTGAAGGATTACTGGCCAAGTCACCTGCTTTTTCTTTTCTTGCTGGATTTACTTCAAAGACACAGTCGCCTGCATTTACTTTTTTTGATTTTTCTGCATTTGGAACTGAGAGTTCATTAGATCAGGTAATAATAAATGTTTAGTGTACTTAGCTCTTTTTTTTAGGGTGATTAACCCATTCACCAGGGAAACTTTGTGTTTTTGTTAAAGATTTAGATTAGAATTGACAATATTCAGATTGAAATCCTAACTTGACTACTCTTGAATAAAAGAGGGAAGAATAATCATGATCAGGACCTAGAGTTAAGTGGAAGAAAACCAATAAAGAGGTGCCAAAGTCAAGGAACAGAGAGAAAAAGGCCTGGTTGATGCATATAGACCATGATGTGACTTTGGTCTTGCCACTATAGTTCCCTTCTGCCACATTTCAGATCATCATTCCACATTGCTCCTTACTGGATGGTACATTATCCCTTACTGGATGGTACATTATCCTTTCTTGTTTTTCTTCGCTTCTCATCCAAGAAGCTTCTTCAACTCTGACTGGATAGTGGAGAATGGAAGGATTTATATCCCTTACAGACAGCTGGTAATTTGCATTCTTTTAGAGAATTGTTGAAGACACTTGGAGATTTATCTATGTCTTCAAGGTCACCTGAGTGGTGCAAGTGGGTGTGGAATCTTCTTGGAACTGCTGAAAGGACACCTTGTAGATTGGAGATAATGTCATATTCCTCCCCCTCTATTGAGGGCAGTTCAGTTTTCACATAATGGCCTTTTTGACCCTCTTTCAAACAGCGGTCCTCTCTGTCCAAAATGTGGACTTTGCTGTATTCGAAAGAGTGGCCTTTATCTTTTAAATGCAGATGGTTCTCCTATATTATGCCATGCATTTATGAAGTAGTTGTTTTGTTTCCCCAATGTACAGATCTGCACATGTCTCACTGCATTGTACTGCATATACAGTATGTTAGTTTGTGTCTGGGTGTTTTATCCTTGGGATGGACAAGCTTTTGCTTTAGTGTATTCTTGGGTTTAAAGTGAGCACATATGTTGTGTTGGCTGAAGACTTTCCTGAACTTTTCAAATATTCCTGCAATGTATGGAATAACAACATTGTTTCATTTATTGTTCTTTTCTGTTATGGAGGAGCTCCTGCAGGGTCTTTTGGGGGCTTTGATGAAGGCCCATTTGGGACAGCTACACATTCTGAGGGCCTCCTTGATGTGTTTTAGGTTTTTTTTCTTTCCCATCTTTGCTGGTGGGCCGGCCTTCAGCTTGGTGGTGTAGGGTTCCAATAACTCCCATTTTGTGCTCCAGTGGGGTGAGAATCAAAATGTAAATATTGATCTGTGTGTGGCAGTTTTCTGTAAACTCCAATGTTAAGGCTTCTATCTTCCTTAATGTGTATTGCACAGTCCAGGAAGGCTAGACTATTTTCTTTAACATCTTCCCGTGTGAATTTGATGTATCTGTCCACAGAGTTGCAGTACAATGCAGTACAATGCAATGAGACATGTGCAGATCTGTACATTGGAGAAACTAAACAGCCACTTCATAAATGCGTGGTACAACATAGGAGACAAAAACCATCAGGACAAGATTCAGCAGTCCATTTGCATTTAAAAGACAAAGGCCACTCTTTTGAAGTCAGCAAAATCCACATTTTGGACAGAGAGGACCGCTGGTTTGAAAGAGGGGTTAAAGAGGCCATCAAATTGAACAGCCCTCCCTCAATAGAAGGGGAGGGATATGACATCATCTATCTCCAGTCTACAACACAGTCCTTTCAGCAGTTCCAAGAAGGCTCCACACC